CACATCGTTTTTCTGTAAGTACTCCTATGATATTTATGTGGTTTTGGTGCTGGTTGCAGTGAATAAAAATAGGTGCTATCTTACCTCGGCTCATTTCATCTCGCATTCCTAACTTGTGTGGCTTGGTTGGCAACGCAATGAGTGTCCATGGTTCAAGCCTCAGCATGTTTCCTTAAACCTGCTGTCTCTGTTGACCTAGCAGCAAGTAGGTACCTGGGTTATTGGTAGACTGGTGTGGATCGCATCCTGGAGGACAAGATTGATTTGATGACGCACTAACGTTTTTGGGTTATCCTGAGTGGCTAACCCTTCCCGGGTTAAAAATCCGAATAAATCTTATTTTATCTTGCCACATTCCTTTTCACCAAGATGCGACCCACAACAGTCTACTGACACCTAGCCATCTGTTAACCGTAAGGTGAACACTGGCAACAGGTGTAAGGAGACGATTATACGTCTCACCCAGCCCGGAAATTGAACTTTGGAATTCCATTTGTGAAATGAACGTTCTATCCGTTCAGCCATGGATGTTAATTGATGCAAAGCAAGCGTCGAGCTAGGGGTGGGTGTGTGTGTATGTGTGTGTGTGTACTCGCCTAATTGTGGTTGCAGGAGTCGAGACACAGCTCCTGGCCCCGCCTCTTCACTGATCGCTGCTAGGTCCTCTTCTCTCTCTCTGCTTCCAGAGCTTTGTCATACCTCGTCTTAAAGCTATGTATGGTTCCTGCCTCCACTGCATCACTTGTTAGGCTATTCCACTTCCTGACGACTCTATGACTGAAGAAATACTTCCTAACATCCCTATGACTCGTCTGAGTCTTCAGCTTCCAATTGTGACCCCTTGTTTCTGTGTCCCCTCTCTGGAACAACCTGTTTCTGTCTACCTTATCTATTCCACGCAGTATTTTGTATGTCGTTATCATGTCTCCCCTGACCCGCCTGTCCTCCAATGTCGTCAGTCCGATTTCCCTCAACCTTTCTTCGTTGGACATACCCCTGAGCTCCGGAACTAGCTTTGTTGCTAGTTCCGGACGTGTTTGCCTACGTGTGGGTTCCAAACTGGAGCTGCATACTCCAGTATGGGCCTGATGTATACAGTGTACAGTGTCTTGAACGATTTCTTACTAAGGTATCGGAACGCTATTCTCGGGTTTGCCAGGCGCCCGTATGCTGCAGCAGTTATCTGGTTGTGTGCCTCCGGAGACATGCTCGGATCTTTCTCCTTGAGCGAGGTTTGCAGTCCTTGGCCACCTAGTCTATACTCTGTCTGCGGTCTTCTTTGCCTTTCTCCGATCTTCATGACTTTGCACTTGGCAGGGTTGAATTCAAGAAGCCAGTTGCTGGACCACGTGTCCAGCCTGTCCAGGTCTCTTTGGAGTCCTGCCTGGTCCTCATCTATTTAATTCCCTTCATTAACTTCACATCATCTGCGAACAGGGACACCTATGAGTGTATCCCTTCTATCATGTCATTCACATATACCAGAAATAACACTGGTCCTAGGACCGACCCCTGTGGGACCCCGCTCGTCACAGGTGCCCACTGTGATACCTCATCCCGTACCATGACTCGTTGTTGCCTCCCTGTCAGGTATTCTCTGATCCATTGCAGTGCCCTTCCTGTTATACGCGCCTGCTCCTCTAGTTTCTGCACTAGTCTCTTGTGAGGAACTGTGTCGAAGGCCTTCTTGCAGTCCAAGAAAATGCAATCAACCCACCCCTGTGTGTTGTGGTTGCAGGTGTCGATTCACAGCTCGTGTGTGTGTGCATATGACATGTAATATAAATAATAATATCTAGTGCAGGTCATACTTAGACGTTGTCCAAAATTTTCTTTCCTAAGTGTAGGTTAGTTATGAATTGTTCCAGTCATGGTATTGTTGTGAATTGTTACATTCACTGTATTGTGAATTTCACTTTTCTTCCTGACTGAATCGCACATAGGGACATCACACGTCGCAGCTTAATCTCTTCTTATTCAACCATAAACTTCTGTTTCCTCTGCGCACCTCTGGAAATCGTATTAGCTTTTTATCGGAAATTTATTCTCACTGGAGTTTACCTGGAGAGAGTTCCGGGGGTCAACGCCCCCGCGGCCCGGTCTGTGACCAGGCCTCCTGGTGGATCAGAGCCTGATCAACCAGGCTGTTGCTGCTGGCTGCACGCAAACCAACGTACGAGCCACAGCCCGGCTGGTCAGGAACCGACTTTAGGTGCTTGTCCAGTGCCAGCTTGAAGACTGCCAGGGGTCTGTTGGTAATCCCCCTTATGTATGCTGGGAGGCAGTTGAACAGTCTCGGGCCCCTGACACTTATTGTATGGTCCCTTAACGTGCTAGTGACACCCCTGCTTTTCATTGGGGGGATGTTGCATCGTCTGCCAAGTCTTTTGCTTTCGTAGTGAGTGATTTTCGTGTGCAAGTTCGGTACTAGTCCCTCTAGGATTTTCCAGGTGTATATAATCATGTATCTCTCCCGCCTGCGTTCCAGGGAATACAGGTTCAGGAACCTCAAGCGCTCCCAGTAATTGAGGTGTTTTATCTCCGTTATGCGCGCCGTGAAGGTTCTCTGTACATTTTCTAGGTCAGCAATTTTACCTGCCTTGAAAGGTGCTGTTAGTGTGCAGCAATATTCCAGCCTAGATAGAACAAGTGACCTGAAGAGTGTCATCATGGGCTTGGCCTCCCTAGTTTTGAAGGTTCTCATTATCCATCCTGTCATTTTTCTAGCAGATGCGATTGATACAATGTTATGGTCCTTGAAGGTGAGATCCTCCGACATGATCACTCCCACTCACTGCTTGAAGAGCTTGTGAGTAGGTTGACATATTAATATGTTGTAATTTTGATTCTTGTTGTTAGCCTAATGTGACACGGGGAGAGTTTCTCAACATGATGCAATTATCGGTTCATGTGAGGCAAGATTATTATACTGTGTCACGTAATTGTTTGTGTGCAGAGGGTTGAGTGGTTTATGGGGTTTGCAGAACATCGACTGCACTAGGGTTAGGTGGCTTCCAACCTGCACATCAGTAGTTAAGGATATTTAAATTTCTAAAATGGGGGATTAAAGTTAGCAGCAGTTGCATATAGGCATATGTATATACACAGATACACACACCTCTTTTTGTAAATACACTTAAGCATACACCTTTCAGTGTATTTACAATGAGAGATACACATCTCTCGATATATATAAACAGTTACACAACTCATAGTGTACATTCATGGGATGCTCTAAACTCGTAAGGGTTACACATCTGGGAACTGAGTTATTAAAGTTTGGTTGCATAAATTCAACATAGCACACTGGTTGTAAAGCAGTCAGCTTGGTGGCAACCACCACACACCAAGCATCAACCACTGGTTGTGAAGCAGTCAGCTTGGTGGCAACCACCACACACCAAGCATCAATCACTGGTTGTGAAGCAGTCAGCTTGGTGGCAACCACCACACACCAAGCATCAATCACTGGTTGTGAAGCAGTCAGCTTGGTGGCAACCACAACACACCAAGCATCAACCACTGGTTGTGAAGCAGTCAGCTTGGTGGCAACCACCACACACCAAGCATCAATCACTGGTTGTGAAGCAGTCAGCTTGGTGGCAGCCACCACACACCAAGCATAAACCACTGGTTGTGAAGCAGTCAGCTTGGTGGCAACCACCACACACCAAGCATCAATCACTGGTTGTGAAGCAGTCAGCTTGGTGGCAACCACCACACACCAAGCATCAACCACTGGTTGTGAAGCAGTCAGCTTGGTGGCAACCACCACACACCAAGCATCAACCACTGGTTGTGAAGCAGTCAGCTTGGTGGCAACCACCACACACCAAGCATCAACCACTGGTTGTGAAGCAGTCAGCTTGGTGGCAACCACCACACACCAAGCATCAATCACTGGTTGTGAAGCAGTCAGCTTGGTGGCAACCACCACACACCAAGCATCAATCACTGGTTGCGAAGCAGTCAGCTTGGTGGCAACCACCACACACCAAGCATCAACCACTGGTTGTGAAGCAGTCAGCTTGGTGGCAACCACCACACACCAAGCATCAATCACTGGTTGTGAAGCAGTCAGCTTGGTGGCAACCACCACACACCAAGCATCAATCACTGGTTGTGAAGCAGTCAGCTTGGTGGCAACCACCACACACCAAGCATCAACCACTGGTTGTGAAGCAGTCAGCTTGGTGGCAACCACCACACACCAAGCATCAATCACTGGTTGTGAAGCAGTCAGCTTGGTGGCAATCACCACACACCAAGCATCAACCACTGGTTGTGAAGCAGTCAGCTTGGTGGCAACCACCACACACCAAGCATCAATCACTGGTTGTGAAGCAGTCAGCTTGGTGGCAACCACCACACACCAAGCATCAATCACTGGTTGCGAAGCAGTCAGCTTGGTGGCAACCACCACACACCAAGCATCAACCACTGGTTGTGAAGCAGTCAGCTTGGTGGCAACCACCACACACCAAGCATCAATCACTGGTTGTGAAGCAGTCAGCTTGGTGGCAACCACCACACACCAAGCATCAATCACTGGTTGTGAAGCAGTCAGCTTGGTGGCAACCACCACACACCAAGCATCAACCACTGGTTGTGAAGCAGTCAGCTTGGTGGCAACCACCACACACCAAGCATCAACCACTGGTTGTGAAGCAGTCAGCTTGGTGGCAACCACCACACACCAAGCATCAATCACTGGTTGTGAAGCAGTCAGCTTGGTGGCAATCACCACACACCAAGCATCAACCACTGGTTGTGAAGCAGTCAGCTTGGTGGCAACCACCACACACCAAGCATCAACCACTGGTTGCGAAGCAGTCAGCTTGGTGGCAACCACCACACACTAAGCATCAACCACTGGTTGCGAAGCAGTCAGCTTGGTGGCAACCACCACACACCAAGCATCAACCACTGGTTGCGAAGCAGTCAGCTTGGTGGCAACCACCACACACCAAACATCAACCAAACCATCTTGTATGTTCACTCGCTTTCGACTTAAAATCTTTCTCCCTACACAATAAACGACACTATTTTATTCCTTTTTCCACGCACTTAAAGGAATTCGATACACCTACAGAAGCACTTAGCAAAGCGAGCTTTAATTGGACCCAATTTATCTCAGATGTTCAGAGGAACACACAACATTTTCCTAAGTGCTATAGAGGATCCCACTAGAGAAATTTATTATAGCCTGTCTCCGAAGGTAAGTATATATGTTACAAGGTGTGGAGGCGGGTAATAGGCTGGTTAAGCGTCGTTATAATAGATGAGATGTCGGTCCTTATTTTACGAGAATTAGTTGAGCAAGAGGCGGTCGTCCAATGCGTGTTATTTAATGGAATATATCCCTCTGTCTAAAATTATGTAGATCGGCACATGCGATACCCTAGTGAAGATGTTAAAATAGTAGGTAAGGTGAGTGCTGTATATGACAGCCTCGCACTGTGGTCCTGGTCACCGGTGCTGAAATATAGCGTATCATTCGGATAGCCTGATATACTCGTTTATATTTTTTTTTCCTTTATGTGGATTCATTTAGACAATGACCCATGTTTATTGCACGCTTATATTTGTATAGATTGAATTTATATTAAATTCAGATAAACCTGAAGAATAATCCTCATAATACAAAAACCTCAGTATTTTTTTTGTAGCTGCGAAAAGAGAATTGTATACTGACTTAACGTTTCTTGTAACACGTCTTTATTATTATTAAATTTAAAGGGCCATACAAGACGAGCGAAGAACAGATATTTACTTGAGGTTGAAGTATAACAGAGCTGACAAGTACAGGTACGACGTTTCGCTCACACGAGACTACCAAGTACAACTCAGTACTTGACAAAGCTTTGTGTTGGCGAAACGTCGTGCTGGTAAAGATCGCCTTTTGCCATACTTTCCTCTTTATCAGATCTTTACTCATATGATTTTGCATTCTTTGGCTGCGTTTTTTTTTTTTTTTTTTTTTTTTTTTTTTTTTTTTTTTTTCAGTTAGAAATTTAATGACGACATTCGTGTAAAGGTCAACATCTTTTTCTTTACCTGACGGGGAAAAAATATTAGCCTCTGATCTGTGCAGTTAAAATACAATAGAAATACATTGTTATGATTCTACACACACTATAATTATGTTACAGTGGGAGGAAACAATCAAAAGAATTAACATAAATCCACAGGGAATGAAGTTTTATAATTATTGAAGTTCTTGGTGTGTGTGTGTGTGTGTGTGTGTGTGTATATATATATATTTACATTTTTGGTGTGTGTGTGTATGTTTACATGCTTTGTGTATATTTGCATTCTTGGTACATGTATATTTACATGCTTGGTGCGTGTATATTCGTTGTCACCAAATTTTTATAACCTTGCAAAATATTTTCCAAGTTAGAACAAAATATTTTCCAAGTTAGAGAGAATCAAAAGTTTTATACTGAGGCCAGAACTAATTCATGCAAACCTCTTCACATATATATAAAAAAAGAATTGCAGCGATGAATGGCCCTCAAAGATTGACTTTTTATTTTTAGAAAAAATCATGCACAAAATAGTATACAACAATGACTTATCTAAACAAACTGAAAGTTATTGAAATGAATGAGTTGATAAAGCACGATAATTATGCACGAAGCCAAGTGGTTAGTGTTGTGCCTTTCGTCTCACTGGTCGACATATCGATTCTTGGACGTTCAAAAAGAAAAGGAAAAAAGGGGGAGAAAAATAGTGCCTTCGCTCGACACTACGACTTGGAAGCTGTGTATGTCAGGCTTTATCACCTCGCCGACAAAGGTTAGGAAAAACCCTGAGGAAAAGATTTTCTCTACGGGCTTAAAGGAGAACGGTGCTAATAATGACCACGTCTGCCCCACTCAGAGCTTGTTCGCTAGGAAGACAGCACGCAAGTGGCAGGATGAGCATTTATTGGGACAGTTTTCCACTCTGTGCAGAGCTTCATAAAGTCGTGATTTGAGAAATCATTAGATACAAAGCGAAACATTCTCCCGATAAGAGTTTGCATCCCCTTCGCTAGGAAATCGAAACCCACAAACACTCGCACCAACTTAGACTCCGCGTCAACCCAAGCGTTTCATATATTTATGGCTCTTCTTATCTAGGATCGGTACACATCACTCTGATCCTATGAACCATACCACGGGTGGGGTTTGAACCCGCGGTCAGAGAATCTCAAAACTCCGGACCGTTGCGTTAGCCACTGGCCCAGCTAGCTTAATAAAATTCATCCAACTAGGTATTTCTACACCATAGGAATATTAGCATAGGCACCACTGTGACCACAAATGCAAGTTTTTTACAGACGAATCTCCCGCTAGCACTGGCCCAGCTAGCTTAATATTCATCCAATTATGTATATTAAGATAGCTGGCCCAGTGGCTAACGCGACGGTCTGGAGTTTTGAGACTCTCTGACCGCGGGTTCAAACCCCACCCGTGGTATGGTTTGTTTGCAATCGTGTTATTACGATTTCGT